GCTAGCATTTGTTTGAAGTGGCCTATTTACTTCTCACTTACAAAAGGTGTTTTTATTATAAAGAATATTATGTCATACTCACCCTTAAGTACATAAATTATTAAAAGTCATTGACTTAAGCTCACAACTTAAGTAAAGTCTAACACTTGACGGTTTTTAAGAATAAGTGAAAACGGTTTTTAAGAATAAGTGAAAATTTTCATAAACTGTCAAAACTAAATTTTTGCATTCAACATTGATTTAAGGATCTCTTATTCTCAAATTTAGAATTAATTTCACATTTAACTTAAAATAATTTTGAACAATTTATCAGTCTTTTCATTCAGGAAAATGGAACTGAAAATATATTGGTATAAAACCAATTTTCTAAGTGAATATTTAAGTATAATGTATTTGTGTTGGGTCCTCGGGGTGGTATAGTCCCATTTTTTATATACATATACATTTGAAAACATATTAAAAAATAAGTTGACCTTTATATATAAAACCACACGTTGTACTGAAAGAAAATCTAAATAAATATATGTGGGCCCCAAATAAAGTAGACAAAATTATTATAAAAATTGAGGAGAGAATTAAAGAATGAAAAGAGAGCAGTTAGTGAAAATAATTAAAATATAGAAAGAAATAGAAAAACAATTAAAAATAATATATTAAAATATAATTTATTTTTTTTGGGTACAATTATTAAAATATAATTTAGCACCATGACTGCTGTTAAGCATTCTATATATTGTTTAATAATAAATTAATGCTTTCAAATTGAAATATCATATATATTACAAAAAATATAAATAAAAGTATGATATTTCATGTTATAAATATGTAATTTTTGTTAGAAATATATGACTCGTGTAACAGTTACTTTGGCTCACACAAGAGTTTTTGATAATTTAAAGTTATTTGATAATTCGAGTCCTGGGAATGCAGCAGTGTTAAAACTCTTGAGTGCGTGAGAGCTTTGCCGTCTTTATGGTCCTACCCAGCTCGATTCCGGATTAGTCGGTTTTCCTGTGGATCCGGAAACCGAAAGGTCCCTGTACCAAAAAAAGTTATTTGACATGAGAAAACAAAACAAAATTCTGATTATTTTGAAAACATCACTTATTTGTAAATTGAGTAATAGATAAGTTGGAGTTTCCAAACATTAAAAGCTCACGTTGTACCGAAAGAAAATCCAAATCAGTATGTGTTGGCCCCAAATAAGATAGACAAATATTTTATTTTTGAGAAAAAAAAAAATTTGCTTTCATAAAATTGAAGCACACAATGTAATTGCCCTTCACATATATATAGAACATTTTATTTAATTTGTTTTTTTCTTTTTAAATTGTGGTTTTAAAAAAATGCAATATAATTGTAACGCCAATTATGATAGGGTGGTCCAAAAGTAGTGAAAATTGAAAAGATATATAGAACATTTTTATGGAAATATACCCATAGTGTGGGCGCCAGGCAATCCTCTTGATACAAATACTAAAAACGTGCTCAATTAAAAAAAATATAAAATAAATTAGTACGACACACATATACTACACGGGGTGTTTGTTAAAACTATTTTTAGATCTTAAAATTAACGAGAAAATGTATTTTTATAATTTAATGCTTTTTACGAAAAATATATAGTATTATTATTTTAGAATGACATTTGTTACTTGCGCGATTTACATATGTTATATTATAATATTTTTTTATAGTTTATACCATAGAACTACTTTAAACACACAATATTAATTGATAAATAATTTTAATATTTTAATTAATATTGATAAATATTTTATTATTATTATAAAAACAAATATAATTTATTTATTTTACACATACAATATGAATATCAACTCGAATCTCATCAAGAGATGATTTAAAAATTTTATATGTGTAAACTGATAAGAGATACAAAAGTTATCAACTTTTAAAATCCATTTACAATTCAATGGCAATAATATTAAATGATATTAAAATGCAATTAGTACATCTAAAATAATCATAAATAATCAACATATTTATGGATGATTCAAACCTAACTTTTTTTAGGTTGGAAATAAATTAAAATTTATCCAAACCAAATAATGAAATATTGAATTTCGCCACATATGATCTCGAAGCATGCGTGACTGCCAGTTATTTTTGAAAATTATGACTCCCTAATGTGGTTTGGATTTTTTTTCATTATTTTTTGTACATTAACACTCGTAAATGGTTAATTGATCTAAAAAAATCAAACGCAATTTTTTTGAGGTCTTATATCATATAATTCACTGATAATACCGTCTAATTACTCATAATTTTCTATGCTTAATACATATTATTATTGAAAAATCTCTACTACACAATCGTGTGAAATTTGTTAACTTTTTCAAAAAATCACACGAAAACCCTACTAGAAAGTTGTGTGAAGTTTTGTCAACTTTTTTTGAAAAATCACACTGCAATTAAATTAATCATACTACAACACTTTTTTATAGAATTGATGAAAAATTTTCAATTTTTTCTCAAAAAATCACACCAATTGTGATTTTTAAAAAAATCACACTTTTTTATAGAACTTCTTACTATTTGAAAATAATCCAAATTTATACGAACTCTTTAAATTATTTTGTCAAATAAGAAACCTTAGAAAATCCCGAGTGTTGATGGTCGTAACAAGCAGCCTTCCCTTCTTAGGGGGATGGGACCCTGAGCATAAGGTGGAGTTCATGGCAAGTCCTTGTACCATTCCACCATATGACTGGAGCACTGTGGAAGTCTATGAATCCCCAATGCATGGTCATGGCCCACAGGGGATCCAACCCCTCAAGAGGAGAAGACTGGTGGTTACGACCATCAACACAGAGTACATAAATTTTTCTAACATAAAATACACCGATAATATTGTCTAATTACTGATGTTTCTATTTGGGCTTAATATATTTAATATTGTCATAAAACCATATATATATATATGATTTTGTTTTTAATTATTATTAGGTAATGTATTTTAGGATTAATATATTCAGTATTGTCATAAAATCATATATGCGCGAGCGCACACACACACACATATATATATAATGTTTTCACTTATTATGTGATAGAATAAATTCTGAAATTGAATAGAATGCATATATGACACAATATTTACTTTAAATTTGTTTATATATTTTTGTAATAATTACATCAATATTTATATACATTAAATATTTATGTTATTTTTTTAAAAAATAATACATTAAAAAATAGTAATGACATTATATGACTATATTTTGAAACAAAATGATATTTGAATATTATGATGACAAAAAATTAGTAAAATCGTTATTATTGTTTTTTTTATCAACACATGAATATGTATTAAAATATTATTTACATTAATATAAACGAGTAACGGACTAATATATATTTAAAATAAAGTTTTAAAAGAAAGTTTTAAGGTACAAACTCGTTTGTGCATTGCACGACATGCTTACAAGTTTATGTTCGATAAACTCTTACATGTATATATGAAGAGGTTTAGAATGCAATATAGAAATTGGCATTTAAGGACGAGATACCTCCGCATTTATATGTGAAAGAGAGGTAGAAGTTGACATTTAAAGGCGAGAAACCTCCACATTTATATGTGAAAGAGATTTATATGTGAAAGAGATGTGGAGATGCAATTGTTGGAAGGTGATTAGGGTATTCACATTCATTTAATCACAATCTACGATCTCTCTCATCCTCATCATATCAACCTTATTTTTCTACTAATTATCTCTCAGTTTCTTTTTTTTTTTTTTTTTT